ACTAGAAAAACCGTGTTTGAATTGGTGGTATCACATGGAAATAAATAGAATGGAATTGAGTGATAAATACAATCTCAGTGTGTTTGATTGACATTTTAAGGAGAGAAATTTTTTTTTTTTAAATTTAAAATAATTTGAATAAAACTTATTGTTTGAATAAAAAAATAGGAATAACAAGTGAAATGATAAAAATTTATGAATTATTTTGTTCAAGTTAAATTTAAAAAATTTTAAATAACGCTTAAAATAAAAAAATTAAAAAAATTTCTCACATTCTATTAAATGAGATAATAGATCAAACCAACTAATAGAGATTTATAGCCTAGCCTAATAGAGTTTTAGATCGGACCAAGATTTTTTAAATAGAAAAAACTATGATTTTTTATGTCATTCACTATAAAAAATTCTTTTAAATATATCAGACCAATTTATTTAAATAAATAAGAATATTATTGTACCGGTCAAAAAGTACAAGATATGCATGTCGTCCCTGCAAGGGTCGTGAGACTTAGAGGCCCTAGTAGGTATATTACACGTTTGAGTGATGATGGCGTGCTCACGGCAACGAGTGGCCATGTACGGTGATTTTTTAGACTGTTTAAGAGACCCGCTCACGTGAGGTGAGATACCATGTAGGTGGTCGCCGTTGTTGGGTTGTTTAAATATGTTGTGGTGGTTACGAGCGTAGAGTTCTTTAAGTAGTAAGGAGTGTGTATGACTTATAGTCCTCCCCTTATCCTCTCGATGGGTAATGTATTTATATGAGTTCCTGATACTTAGTGTTTTTACCTTCTAGACGTGGTCTTAATTACTCCCCTCTTATTAGGGGAGGTTATTGATCGCATATCTTCTCGGAATCAGCAAGGACTTTCTCTTTCGTGTCTCCCACATTGGAGGCCCTTAGATTCCGTCTAGACAATCCAACTGTTGGGCGAGGGTGTCTTAGTCTAGGGTTTTACCAAATATAACATTTTAACAGCTGCAAGTACCTTTCAAAAATACTTGCAACATTATGAATGAAGAGATTGAGAAAACCATTAAGAGGGGTTAAAATTGGGAGAAAGAACCATAGAATCTTCAAAATTAATTGTAAATCATGGCACTCGGAAGAGAAAAAATGTGTACAAATGATTTAGCTTTACATTAAATGAGAATGAAAGATGAGAAAAAGGAAAATGTAAAACCAAATTCAGTCACTTGTTATGCAGAGGAGAAAAATGAAAGTTAAAGAAAAGTAAGCTAGAATGAAGATGGGAAAAAGGAAAACACAGAAACTCTAACTATGTGTTTAAATAGGCATAAACAAAAAAATATGTTTGGATTGGTGGTATCGCATGGAAAGAAATAGAATGGAATTGACTGATAAATACAATTTGGGCATGTTTGATTGATATTTTAAGGAGAGATTTTTTTATTAATTTAAAATAATTTGAGAAAAACTCATTGTAATAAAAAAAGGAAGAATAGGTAAAATGATAAAAATTTATGAATTATTTTGTTCAAGTTACAAATGACACTTAAAAGTAAAAAAAAAAGAATAAGGGGGATACACTGATGATGTAAATTAATTTTACAGTGTTAAACAATAACGACTCTCGCCACAGTTTATATTTTAAAATTATTTTAATGACATGGCAGACTGCTGGTTTTCTATTGGATGATAGTGTAAAAAATATAGAATATAGAATGTTTGGTGAAGTAAAAATTAGACATATCATGTCTTACTCTAGCCATTCTTACAACATATGCAACCACGCCAATTAGGTTACTAGTCTTAGAGAATAGAGGAAAGTTGTCAATAAGGATTCTTCTATTCTTGGTGACTTCAGTTGGCTCACCCATGTGTTTATTTTAAGTTTTGGGATTGTCTTCATGTTTCTTAAGGTCTATCCATTAAATGGTTCTCCAATACTGAGAATCAAGTATTCAGTGAACCTGGCCTCTTTTGTAAGAAAGTATACCAATCCACTTTCTACAAAAAATGTCAGTTAGAATACGTCTACATGGAATATTATGAGAGAAATTTTTCTCTTGATTTACAGTTGTTCTTGATATTATGATAGCCTCCTTCAGATGAATAAATAGAACAAATGGGAGATTCATCTTCTTTTGGCAAGCAAATAGTGCAACATGAACTGCTGAATGATGTTGAAATAATTTGAAGAACTTGTTGAAGGTCTAGGGTTTATGCCCCAGAATGATCTTGTGCCAAATTCTCAAATTATCATAAAGATCCTTACTTTTGTATTCTTTCTTCTCAACGGTGTAATTCTTAAACAGTAATTGATGGAGAGCATTATTTTGAGCATTGAATCTAAACTCCATTCCAAACGTAAATTTTCCTTTCAAAAATTCCAGACCTAGAAGATCCGCAATAGACTTTTATGTGATGATTATTCTTTGACCAATCACATCTGAGACAATATGAAGATCATCACAATCAACATTCTTCCAAAAATCCTCTACTAAGGATCCATAAATAGGACCATGTAGTATTTGAAATTAGTTTTTCCACCCTTGAGCCTATAACTCCTCTCTAATGTCACACCCATTTTCAGCAAGATTATCAAAATCAACCATGTATTCTCGAAGAACTACTAACTCAGATGGAGGAATGATGTAGTGAAGTTGAAAAGATTTCTGAGGTATGTGGTGTTCAACAATAACCAATAGATAAGAAGAACCAATTACCATAGGAGAAGAAGAACTAGTTGGAATGGTTGAAGAAGACAGCTCAGAAGGATTTAGGGTTTGTTCCATATCTTTAGCAAACTGAACATTTTCTTGTTGTTGAGTATTCATCATGTTGAAATGTTGAAGATGATGAAGGTTGTTGACGAGGGTGATGATCTTCGATGAAGAGCGTTGATGAAGATGATGAACACAGAGAACTTGTTGAATCGGTTTGAGAGAAAAAAGAGGGTTTAGGATTTTTAAAGTGTGGAAGTGAAGTGAAGTGTGTGTTTTATAGTGTTTTAAAAGCGAGAGAAAAATAAATAAATAAAAAATAAACACATATAGACATAATTATTAGGAGCATTAAATGAAAGTAATAATTATGGTTTTAATCAGTTCCAAGAAAAACACACATTTCTCATTGTATAGTTTAGATAGCGTGTGATGATTAAGCATAACCAAGGGTTACACATGTTAATCAATACATCTAACTAAGTGACACGTTTGAAAGAAACATCTGGAAAACCAAAAAGGTCTCCATCTAATCAAAGACATTTCTGACCGAAACATCTTCTGATTACTGAGGTTCTGAAAGAAATACAGTACCTTTGTTAAACTCAGAGTCTAGTATTCTTTAGAAAGTTTGAACGTTGATCTTGTTCTAACTAGAGCATCTTTGTTTTTCTAGAGTTATATCTTCAGAAAGAGATGATGAGATTCTTCTTTTCTTTTGTTGAGGTAGATCAAAAGGAACAACAATAATATTAGAAGTAGCGGATTTTGATTCTTTATCTTCTTGAGTTTTGTCTTTTGGTTCATCGAACATTATCTTCACATCAATAGTTCCAGAGCCAATGATCTTCCTTTTCTGATTGCCTTCTAAAACTATCAAGGCCTCCAGACTTAAGTTTCAAATATTGGAACATATGCCTTTCGCCCATCATATGTTGTAAGCATTCATTTTTCAGGTGCCATAATTGGTGTTTCAGTTGCACCATTAAGAACATATGCAATATAGATTATCTGATCTTTGGGTGCCCATTTTCTAAGTCCTTTCTTGTTAGAAGTTCCAGAGGTTTTGACTCCTTTGGAATTTTGTGCAATAGGATAATCATGTGAAATTTGTGCATGATACTTTAGTTTAGAAGTTTTCTTCGGTGTCTGTGTTTGTGCTACAGTAGTATCAGAACCTTCTTGTTTTGGACATTTCAATTTTGTGCCAGCAAGCACGAAATTTTCAGAAAGAGGTTTTGGTATGATAATCAGAGTCTCATAAATTTTCTTTGATGGTCGTGAGTATCCCAAGCCCTTGCTTCCATTTCTACTAACACCATAGATCATTGAAATCATTTTGCTTCTATCTATGCTCTTAGCTAGGAAATGCTTAAAAGCTCTATCATATCTTATTACTTCATCAGTAATAGATATGGGTGTTAAATCAAAACTTTTCTTTTAAAAATATTCTCCTTTAATTAAAATACTTTTTCCTCCACTCTTGATAATAACAATAATTAAAAACAAGAAGTAAATAACAAGATATGGTTTTTCCAATACGTAAAATATTGAAATGAATTAAATAAGATATATATATATATATATATATATATATATATATATATATATATATATATATATATATATATATATATATATATATATATATATATATATATATATATATATATATATATATATATATATATATATATATATATATATATAATAATTAATTTATGTGATGACAATTAGATGCATGATAAACTATTTTTAAATTGTTCTAATTTAGTCATTTAAGTAATTTTGGTGTAATTAGTTTAATCATATTAAAAACAGATTTTTTTCTTCAATTTATATCCTTATTATGTTAAAATTATTCTTTTATATAATTCTTTTTATATTTATGAGATAATGAAATGATTAATTTATTAAATATTCAAATTAATTAATAAATTAATTACAAATTATCTGTTATAAAAAATATTATGAAGTATTTTTGGAGAATAATTTTTATATATTATCACTATCAACTAAAAAAAAATTAACAATTTATCACATCATTAAAAAAATTAACATAAAAGTTAGAAGGCTTTCATAATTCTCAATACACCCACCATCCACGTTCTTTCCATTTGCTCCTTGTCGGAAAGTGTTCCTGACATTTTCCACGTGTTTTTCTCTCACCTCTCAACTACTTCTACGCGTGTCTTCATCTCATTTGCTATTCAAGTTTTCCCTTTCATCAATTATTGAACTTTGCACTGGCTTGCTCCAAAATTCAATCTAAACAAATTATTCATCTTGTTATTTGTCTCATCTCTGAAAAAATGGCCGAGGCCTTAGTTGGAGTTGTGTTTCAGAATTTGTCATCTCTTCTTCGGGATAAATTTTCCACCTTGTTCGGAATCGAGTCAAAGATGGAAAAGCTATCAAACACCTTAGTTAGCATCAACGCTGTCCTTGAAGATGCTGAGCGGAAACAAGTCACGGACCGGTCTATAAAAGTATGGCTGCAACAACTCAAAGATGCTGTATATGTGCTTGATGATATCCTTGATGAATATTCCATTGAATCTACCCGGCTGAGGGGCTCACTTTCTATCAACCCAAAGAACTTAGTTTTTCGTCGTGACATAGGCAACCGGTTGAAAGATATTACAAGGAGATTAGATTATATTGCTGATGGTAAAAACAACTTTCTTCTACGACATGATATTACTATTACTGATAGCTCAATTGAAGTGCCTGAATGGCGCCAAATCAGCCCTTTTATTGCTGAACCAACAGTTTTTGGACGACAACATGATAACGACAAGATTGTTGAGTTTCTCCTCACCCAACCGACGGATTCTGACTCTCTTTCCATCCTGCCCATTGTTGGCTTAGGCGGTATTGGAAAAACAACTCTTGCTCAGTTGGTCTACAATGATGTTAGGGTGACTAACAATTTTGATACAAAAATCTGGGTTTGCGTTTCTGAGGTATTTTCCGTCAGGAGGATTCTATGTTCCATTATAGAAGCTATCAAATCTGACAAGTGTGATTCCTTGGATTTAGATGGATTACAAATAAAGGTGCAAAGTTTGTTGCAAGGTAAAAGATATTTTCTAGTTTTAGACGATGTATGGAACAAAACTAAATATTTAGAATCTGGGTTAAGCCAAGAGAAATGGATTAAGTTGAAATCCATGTTGTTGTGTGGATCCAAAGGTTCTTCCATTTTAGTTTCCACTCGAGATGAGTATGTTGCGGAAATTGTGAGAACATGCCAAACCTATCATTTGTCTTGTCTCCCTCAAGATGAATGTTGGTTGTTGTTCAAACAATATGCATTTGGACATGAAGGAGAAGAACGCGCTGAACTGGTGGAAATAGGTAAGGAGATAGCGAAGAAATGCGGTGGATTGCCTCTTGCGGCACAAGCATTGGGAAGTCTAATGCGATCAAAGAGTGAAGAAAAAGATTGGCTTGAAGTTAAAGAGAGCAGAATTTGGGATTTAGCACATGAGAATTCAATCTTGTCTGTCTTGAGGTTGAGCTACTTTCATTTTACTCTGACCTTAAAGCAATGTTTCTCTTTTTGTGCTATATTTCCCAAAGATTGGATAATCATGAAAGAAGAACTGATTCATCTTTGGCTGGCTAATGGATTTATTTCGCCTAGAGAAAATTTGGAGGTCGAAGATGTTGGCAGCATGATCTGGAATGAATTGTGCCAAAAATCATTCTTTCAAGACATCAAGATCGATGAATATTCTGGAGACATTTCTTTCAAGATGCATGATCTTGTCCATGATCTTGCTCAGTCGATAATGGGGCAAGATTGTATGATTTTAGGGAATGCTGAAAACATGGCTAATTTGTCTAAAAGTACACATCATGTTAGTTTTCACTTTGCTTCTCATTTATCAGTTGATAAAAGTTCCTTGAAAAAAGTAGAATCCCTACGCACAATGTTTGAGTTGAATCATTATGCTTATGAACACACTGATTACTTCCCAGCAAACTGTTCTCTACGGGTTTTAAGCATCTCCCCTACCCAGGTATCATCACTCGGAAGCTTAATTCATTTGAGGTATTTGAAACTTCATGGTTGCGACATTAAAAACATCCCTGACTCAATTTACAACTTGCATAAACTGGAAGTCTTGAAATTGATAAATCTTTCCAAACTGACATGTCTACCGAAACGTTTGGCTTGCTTACAAAATCTTAGGCATCTTGTCATTGAAGATTGCTATTCACTTTCTCAATTGTTTCCCTACATTGGAAAATTAACTTGCCTTAGAACACTAAGTGTATACATCGTTAGTATAGAGAGAGGACAAGGCTTGGCAGAACTACGTGATCTAAACCTCAGAGGAAAGCTAAATATCAAAGGGTTAAAAGATGTTGGTAGTCTATCCCATGCTCAAGATGCCAATTTGACAGCTAAAACAGAACTCCATGAAGTATCCATGTCATGGAGCGTCAATGATAGAATTACTGAGACCCCGAGTTTTAATTCCGAGCAAGTACTAGAAGGGCTTCAACCTCACACAAATCTCAAAAGCTTGAAGATATATTACTATAATGGATTATGTTTCCCAAATTGGATCCAAACTCTAACTAGTTTAGTTTCTCTTGAACTCAAGGGTTGCAACAAGTGTGTGCGGGTTTCACTACTTGGTAAACTACCATCTCTTAAGAAACTGGAACTACACGATATGAATAATGTGAAATTTGTGGATGATGAGGATGAGGAATGTCACGACAATATGGATGTGAAGATTTTCCCATCTCTTGAGGAACTCATATTATTTAGGTTACCAGGATTAGAGAGGTTGTTGAAAATGGAAAGAAGGGAGATGTTTCCTTGTCTTTCTGTTTTAAAAATATCCTTTTGCGATAAACTTAGATTGCCATGTCTTCCTTATGTTAATGACCTACAAGTAGTTGGATGTAACATTGAATTATTGAGTTCAATCTCTAGCTTCGATGGTCTTACTACCCTTAACCTTAGTGAAGGTAGAGGAATAACATCCTTTCCAGAGGGGATGTTCAGAAACCTTACTTGTCTTCAAACTCTAACAGTAAATAAATTTTCCAAGTTGAAGGAGTTACTAAATGAGCCCTTTAACGTTATCTCTTCCAGCCATGAGCTTAATTGGAAAGGTATGCAATCCCTTCGAACCTTGACAATTACTGATTGTGAAGAATTGAGATGCTTGCCGGAGGGTATTCGATTCCTCACTTCTCTAGAGGATCTGACAATTTATGGTTGCCCAACATTAGAAGAGCTATGCAAGAAGGAAACAGGGGAGGATTGGAACAGGATAGCACATATTCCGAATTTAGATATTTCTTTATGATTGCTTAATTTTAGTAATGATTTACATGATTTTGGCTAACGTTGTTTTAGTGTTGTTTTGTTTTGGAGTGTTTGTTTGATGGTTTTTTTACGTGTGTTTTTCTTTCTTTTTAGAAACATTTTTGGATTATTATTTATGTACTTTTTTTTGTTTTGTTAGAGTTGTTCTGTTAGTACATCTGGACAAAGAAATATTGGTATTTATTTATTTTATATAGAAATGGAGAAAACTATTATTTACAGTAAAATGACATTAATCTGACCTGATCAAAAATAGACAGTCACGGCTGGCTCCGAGCAGAAAGCTTTTTGAACGAGGTGGGGTGCTCGAGATAACGTCGAGCTGGACCTCAGAATGTGGTGCTGGACCACAGCATGTCGAGCTGGAGGCGTACTGTCGAGCCTGCGACTACGCGTCGGGCACGGTCGTACTCTTTGGTCGGCGTGGCCCTTGTAAGTCCATTTGGACTGGGCCTTTGCAATGCTTTTGGGCCTGTCGGGCCCAGTCCAGAACAGGAGCCCCCCAAGTCGTGGTTCCTTTGTGAGGAGCCATGGCTTGAACTCAGGTCGTTTCCTCATCGAGGTCTCGTGCCCGGGACAGAGGTGTAGGCCCTCGAGGGCCTCCTCGTGCCGTGCTCGGAGACATCTTCCGCGGTGGATGCCTGGAGGATCCTCACCGGGGCGCGTCTGTCGAGCATACGAGGTATCTTTCGGGAACTGTGTCGCCACCCTATGGGGATAGGGTCATCATTGCGTTGGGAGCAGCGCGTCGGGGAGAGAGACTCCGTGGTTGCCCGAGGTGACGTTTGGTATTCCACGTTATCACTATAAATAGGAACCTTGAGCCCCATAACACGTTTCTACTCTTTGTGCTCTCTCTGCTGTTGCTCTTCCAGATTTTTCCCAGTCGCAATCTTCTGTCACAGATTCTTCTACTCCGTAGCCGAATCCTACTTTTCGATTCAAGTAAGTGGTTTATCTTCTTCATTTTCCTGTTAAAATGCATGATTTTTTGGCGTTTGTAGATGTTTTAGGGACTGTGCGCGTGGGATTAGCCCGGTAAACTCATACTTAGCCCGACATATTCATGCCTAGGACCGGCAAACGCATGTTTGTGGTCGGCATATTCATAGTTTTAGGTGATAAACTTCAGCGCTGCCCGGGGTCTTCATGATCCAGGGCGCCTGATTCATGATCGCGCCCGGTATGTTCATGGTCTTGGCCGTAAGCTTCATGATGTGGCCCGCCATGTTCATACCTTGGGTCGACATGTTGGAGAGTGGCCGCGTAGTTGGTTTGAGGAAGAACACATCGAGTTTCAGGATGTCGGGGGAGGCAACCACTCGTGCAAACTGACTATGTGGTCGTGCATGGGACGACGTGGTTTGTCGAGCGTATGGCTTCGTGCCCAATTGACTGGTTTCCCGTGCTCTGCAGGTAACCATGGCGGACGAGCCGTGCTCCTCCGGGCGCCACGATCGTGAAGAACAAAGTGCCGATGAGTCGGTCAGCTTGATTGATACTGTGACCGACCCTTTACTGGACTGGGTGGGCGTCGAGCCCCGAGGGATCGCGTCGATCTACAGCCGGGGCGACCGAAATCCGTATGCTGTCCTCGAAGCGGGCCATGGCCAGCCCGACTTCCAAAAGAACTTCGTTGTCATGTGCCTGTCCTCCCGTTCAAGGATCTGCTCGGTGTATCCGGAATATAGCTTCGCGATGTACGAGATCGCGTTCAAAGATCTAGGGTTGCAGCTGCCCTTCACTGATTTCCAGGTCGGGGTCTTCACTCACCTGGAGTTGGCCCCGTCCCAGCTACATCCAAACTCGCTCGCCTTCATCCGGGCGTTTGAGCTGACGTGTCGCTATCTGAGGATCGGGGCGACCATACCGCTCTTCTTCCGGATTTTTCATCTGCAGCGACAGTCTCGAGGCGGGAAACATAGCTGGGTCTCCTTGAAGCAGTCGAGGAGACTCTTCAAAATGTATATGGACTCCGTAAGGGGTTTCAAAGACAAGTGGTACGTTGTGCGGCCAGTTACCACCTCGGCTTTAGGATCCATGTACGAGGAGGAGGAGCCCCTAAGCGATGATGACGGGGAGGCGGTTTTGGGCGACGATGGGAGTCCTGTGATGGCCCGTACGGCTAAGTTCCCTGTGCACTGGATATTCAGGCACTACGAGCATGGGACCGGTTACTACCACACTGCTGCCGGGGACATGTGCTCGGAAGACGAGGAGGCGTACGCCACACTTTGCCGGTTTGTCGATAGCTTCCACCCTGCTCGGTGGGCTACGAGGGAAGGGGACGATATCCTGGACGCAGAGGGTTATCCAACGTTTGAGTCTCGGCCGATTGATACCAAGGCACTCGTGGAGTGCCAGACGTACAGGCAGGCTGCCCGTCTGCTAGGTTGTTTATTGCTTGAATTTCTTTGCTCGTTATTTATTTATGAGCTTGCTCGATACTAACCCATCTTTTATTTCGTGCAGGTTCGATGGCCGGTCGACGGGAAAGGCTTTTGAAATTGTCCTGCGACCAGAAGCGAGGAAGGAGGGTCGTGAAGGCCCCCCAGGCGACGAGGATGGGCCCGCCACACAGTCCAAGTGCTCCTCAGCCGGTGAGGGTGGACTTGCCGCCCAGCTCGGGGGCCGCGTCGGATGGGACCCAAGAAGTTGAAGAGGTCGACCCTAGTGTCGTCCTGATGCAGAGGAAGAGGACCCGGGTCGAGAGTGGTCCGACTGTCGGCGAGGACGCCAGTGCTGTCAGGTCTTTCGCGTTCCCCCCTTGCTTCAAAGAGGAGGGCTTCTTCGAGAGATTCCCTCTGACAGTGGTTGCCGACGAGGCTGAAGCTATAAAAAGGATGAGCAAAGAGGATCGGAAGATGTATCTGGCCGCCAGCATGGACGGGCTGGTGAAAATGGCCGAGATGGCCTTGGTGCTATCCGAGGAAGGAGGGGATCCTGCCCGTGTCGAAGAACTCGAGCAGGAGAAGGCGGCCCTTACCTCGAGCTCGCGGAAGTTGAAGACCGCTCTGGAACGCTCTGAGGAGATGTTCCGCGAGCAGACGGCGATGCTGGATGCTGAGAGGGAGATGTTGACCCTGGAGAAGGAAAAGTCGGGGAAATTGGCCGAGGAGGGGGAGCTTCTCCGTGCAGACAGGGATCGTCTGGGGACCGAAGTCGGACGCCTGGCCCAGCAGATCGAGGAAATGAACGCTGCCATGCAACCTGCCGAGGACGAGCCGGAGGATATAGCGGCGTTAAAGAGTCGGTCGGAGCTGGTCGCCCATATCCGGCTCCTTGAGGCAGATTGCGTCGGTGCCCTGGAAGAGGGGTTCGACTCCGCAGTCGGTCAGCTCACCTTGTTGAACCCAGGTCTGGTCACTGAGGGTATAGGCCACACACATCAGGTCGTGGATGGCGTGATCGTGCCCCCGCCCGACTCTCCAAGCGTCGACAATGATGGTTCTGGGGAAACCTGACTAGGATAGCGGGCCTGCGTGCCTTTAACATTTTGTATTCTTTGGGCCTGCGTGCCCGTTTGTTGTACGTTATGAACATCGCCGGCCTTCTTGGTCGGTTTATAATTGTTTTGTCGCCTTCGGGCATTTTTATCTGAATGCTGTTTTACATTTTGAATGTTTTGCCCTTGCTTGAAATCTTATATATTTGCATAAAATTTTAGCCTAAGTCATGGGCCCGAGGCGTGCCCGTAAGTGGCTGTGATTTGGCGAGAGAGTCTACCCGCCTTCCGTTTGTATGCGTGTCCGGCCCTCTTTCGCTGGCCAGAGTCACCTAAGTGTTGTGCTCGAGGGGAGAGACTTCCCTTTGACCCTTTTAGATGGCCCGTCATTCTTGACGATTTGTCGGGCATTTGGAGCGAGGTTGCTCAGTCGGGCGCGAAGCCCGGTCGGGACTATTCGCCCTTGGCGTGAACTGCCCATCGCGAGCTGGGTGTTCTGCCTCATGGGTACAACGACGGTGGTGCTCGGTATAGCTGTCCACGTCGGGCACTATCGATCGTCATCGTTTGTCGTGCGATGTTGTGCGATTTGGCCGTATGTCGGGCTTGTACCTTAGCCTTTATACGAAGTCAGACGTTTTTCCTCGTTGACCGAGCGCGGGTGTCGTTGGTCGAGGGTCCCAGGTGTTGGTAGTTTCTAACTGTAGTACTGCTTTAGCTTAGCAGCGTTCCAGGGTCGTGGTAATGGCTCTCCGTCTAGTTGCTCGAGGTAGTACGCCCCGGTACCCGTGGTGCCGTGGACGCGATAAGGTCCTTCCCAGTTCGCGGCCAGCTTCCCTTCGCGGGAATATTTCTGGTTCCTGCGTAATACCAGGCTGCCGATTTCGAACTCGCACTTGATGACCTTGTCGTTGTGGCGTAGAGCCACTCGTTGTTTTAGGGTGGCTTCGCGCAGGGCTGCACCCGATCGGATTTCCTCGACTAGGTCGAGTTCATCCCTTAGTGCTTCGTCGTTCATTTCTTCGTCGAGGGGGTCCTCCGTTCGTCGGGATGGTTCCATGATTTCGACCGGGATGACAGCCTCGGTGCCATACGTCAGTCGAAATGGTGTCTCACCCGCCGTTGAGTGGGGTGTGGTGCGGTATGCCCACAAGACGCTGTGGAGCTCCTCGACCCATCCTCTTTTGGCTTCGCCGAGCCGACGTTTGAGCCCTCGGAGGATGACTCTGTTCGCGGCTTCGGCTTGCCCGTTGGTCTGAGGGTGCTCGACTGACGTGAAATGTTGTTTTGTCCCTAGTTTGGTGACGAAGTCCCGGAACCCGTGGTCGGTGAACTGGGTACCGTTGTCGGTCACCAGGGCCTGCGGAATTCCGAACCTGGCGAGGACGTTTCTTTTGTAGAAACGGAGGATATTGTGCGAGGTGATTTTTGCGAGTGCCTCGGCCTCGATCCACTTCGTGAAGTAATCCACGGCGACGATGAGAAATTTATTTTGGTAGGTTCCTTGCACGAAGGGCCCGAGGATGTCCATGCCC